TTGTGCTTGCTTTAGCTCAGAACTCTTTGGCAATCGGGACCTCTGTTTTCGAAGAAATAAGCATCCCGTATGCGTTGCGGCTCCAGTTCCCCGCTTGTCATCAGATACCCTAGCATCCCTAAGCCCCAAACACTATCATCAGCCTGCAGCCGGTACCTGGATTGAACCTAAACCCTGTAAAACGCTAAGCCCTCACCCGGTGATGGAGCTATGGGAAAGCTGAACCGGTTGGGTCACTTCGACAGCCCAAGGAAGTCGTGGAAACAAACACAAGCCTTCAGCCTTGAATTGTTGAACCTGAAACCCCAAACTCGACAAGTGTTCCGGAACCCTAGAATCTTAAACCGTATCAAGCCGAACAAGTTCACAACCCAAAGCTACATAAATCCAAAACCCTGTATTCACTCTTTCTCTCGATACACCCTGTATCTAGAGGCCCTCAGCCAAAATAATCCCACGTAAACCCTAAACCTCCACCCCGAAAACCCACGAGGCCCCCTACGTTCATATTCATATTCTATCAGCCCCACAATTCCACATACCCCGAAACTTGCGCAACAAACAAGTGCAGTTTACCTCTTACAAGAAAAACCCAAACATCCAGGAGGATGGCCCGCCCAGCTTTCCCCCAATGCCTGGCATCTGGGTCTTTGTTGGAGGGTCGGGCTGCTCCCGGGGCTTTAGGGTTGAGGCTTTATCATATCGGCCTGAATAATTACCTATAGCATTTAGGGGATTCCTTATTATAAGTACAGTAGAATGGGCCCCAAAAGCCACATTAGAATTATTAAGGCCCCTATTCTAGGGTTGACCAGAGATTCGGCTTTGCCGGTTTTTCCCTTCCGGCTCTTACCTGTGAGGGCTAGGGTTCAGGAGGTTGTCCAGGCAGCAGCAGTTAATCCGGACAGGTTCGGGTTTAGGATTTTTGGTCTTTGTTTTCGGAGCATGGGATTCCCAGGAACCGCCGGAAACGTTCCGACATTATAAGTCCAGGTCAACATTGCATGTTTCACGCAGCGCTTTTGTTTTGGGGAGCCGAGTTTTTCGAATCCGGGTTTTTGGTTACCGTAGTAGACATCAACTGCAACTTCGAGGCTTCGGGTTTTGACTAGCCAGAGTAGAGCGAAATAAATCGTTAACAGTCCGAAGCTGAAACCCTTTATAGAGCCCAAAAGGCACTGAAGCTGTAAGGGTTTATGGTTGGGCTTTATAGTTGTAGTTTTTCGTTGCTGAAGGGGCTTTAGGAGGTTTTTCAGGGTTTGGCGGCCGAGGGCTCAATGAAGGGTTAGTGAGTTTAGGAGTCAGCGTTAGGGTTTAGGGTTTAGGGGTGTATCCCGAGTGTACACAACTCCCGTAAAATCAAATCCGGCCTCGATTCGATGCCTCGGTCGTACCAAACTTTAAACTCTTCACCGTGAAACCCTACACCTCCATTCCTTAACCCTAAACCCTAAAGTACCCTTGCATAAAAGGCCACAGAGGAGCCCTGCTCTAGAGCCTGCTACAACAAAAAATCATAAACCCCTTCAGGTGCCCTTTCAGAGCTAAAGCCTAATGCGCCCTTTCCTAGGCCCCTAAACCCTAAACTCTAAACCTTAAACCCCTAAACCCTACACCCCTGAACCCCTATAAGCCCTGAACCCCTAAAACCCACAAACCCCTAAGCCCTAAACCCCTAAACCCTAAACCCCTGAACCCTAAACCCTAAACCCCTAATCCCAGGTATGCCCTTCCCTGGCGGCCCGCCGCCACCGGGCTTCCCACCAGGGGCTCCGCCTTTCATGGATCCGGCAGCTTGGTTCCTTTACAGGGTTTTTTTTCTTCAGGGTTCCTGCAAGGGTTCTACAGGAGCTGGGTTCTGTGTGGGGGGGTGTCAGTCTGGGGTTCAGGGGTTTGCGGTTTAGGGGTTTGGGGCTTTGAGATTTAAGGACTTTGAGGATCTTGACTTTGCAGCTTCGGCGCTGGCGTGATGAGCTTGGTGCTCGGGGTTTGGGGCTTAGGGATTTGGATTCCGGTTTGTTGATTAGTACTAGGAGGCTGTGTCGCTCTTGAATTCAGGGTTTAGTTAAATTGCGGCGTGACGTTGCAAGCCAGTTGCAGCAGGGTGGGAGGCTCTCATGACCTCAGTCGGCTTGTCAGTGTCTTGAGTAGATCCTCGCCATGAAGGTATCGTCTCCTCTTCGTGGTAGCATTGCTGTTTATGCCCTTACCAGCCTTTCCTGGCGGTTTGCGCTTGTGTCGTTGCACGGATGGGGGGCTTAGGGTGTAGGTCACAGTAGGTCATCAGGAACCTCGCAGTCCTACACCATCCTCCTCGGCGTGTCGATGGGCTTACAGTAATGCCACCGACAGGTCTCCACACATCCCCTTAGAAATGCCCACCCTGCGACCATATGGGGGCCGTGAATACCTATAATAGGGTTTGGGTTGTGGTGTAAACTATTGTGTTTGTTGCACGGACCAGTATTCGTTCGCCTTAGTGCTGTGCTAATCAGTCAGGCCTCCACATAGTATGGTCGCGACTGGTGGGTCGGACTTCTATATCAACTGCATCTTAAATCTCTGAACCTAGACTGTCAAAGAACTTAGACACGGGATCATCCAAAGCACCCTGAGGCTTTTGCCCACATGATGGGCATGCCGCCTGGAATGCCACCTCCATGGGCAATGGGGCGGGACCCTTTGCCGCAGATAGCGTTTCAAACTCCGCGCTATATTTCCCAAAACCGTAAACCACTGAACCCTAGCAGCAATAGACCGAGAAACTACAATGAAGATACTTACCAAAACGATAGCATGGTAGATGCAACAGCTATCATGACCACGACAAGTTTGATGAGCACAACATGATCAACATGTGTCATGACTAAATAGGTTCCCGCCCAGCTTCTTCAGTGCCGACAGCGTCGCGATTCGAGCTTGCGTGGTTTCCCATTTAGAGTATCGGAAGCTTCGATGGCAGAAGGCATGCGGCACTCTGCTGTCACGGCCAGGACAAGAAGAAGAAGGATAAAAAGGACAAGAAGGACAAGAAGGAGAAGAAAGAAAAGAAGAACCTTGGCAGGCATTCATCTGGTCGGGTTTCTTCTGCATGCAGAGTATGACGCAAGCCCCAGACGCATGTCCAATGCAGTGCTCATACGACTATGTTTGCTGGTATTCTGGTGTTCAGAAACGCTTGTTTTGTGGACGTAGCCACTCTTCAGCTTGATGTTGAAGCAAGTTTTGCACAAGAGAATTTTACGTTCTTTCGTTCCCGACATTTTCCAGATTCAAGCCCTGTAAGAAGCCAACTCCCCACGAAGACACTAGCACAAACTCAACAAAGAAACCCTCACTAAGCCCTGAACCCTAACCCTGAACACAAAACCCCCTCTCTTAGAGTCACCGTTCGTAGCAATTTTTAGAGAATCCCTGACAGGAGCCATTAATCCCAGAACCCGTAACCCGAAGCCCTAAACCCTACATCCTAAACCCTTTGGCCAACCTTACAGTAGCCTTAAAAGGCCCCTTAAATGAACCCTTGTGGTACCCTTATAAAATCCCTTATAAAATCCCTGTAAGGAACCCTTGTAGTATGTACCTTTATCAGATCCCTTTAAGGAGCCCTTATAGCAACCCTGAAGCAAACCCTGAACCCTAAACCCTGAACCTTGTTCTCTGCCATGCGAGAGGGAAAAAAAACCCTGAACCCGAAACCCTTAACCCTAAGCCCTGAACCCTGAGCCCTGAACCCTAAACCCTAAACCCTGAACCCTAAACCTAGTCCGAGCTGTGCGAGCATAGACCCTGAAAAGGAAGGCGAAGGCGGCCTCCGGCTCTGAGCCGCGGCCGAAGAAGCGAAAGATCGACGACGACGACTTCTGATCCTCAGGGCACATACGGTTTGGGGGTTTGGGTTTTAGGGATCCACGGTTTTTGTCTACATGGGGGTTTCTTGTGGCTTGGGGCACTAGTCGATAGTGTCCTTATAGTAGATCCTAGTATTCAACATTAGGGTCCGTGCCCTTTCAATGAAGCTCCCATCTTGTGTTGGTGTGGACTACTATCTTGCTGTCTACTAAGTCGTTTCTCCGTAGTGCTGCTGACAAGGGTCTGACTAGTAGTAGCAGCAGCATGTAGTATATAGCGTGTAGTATGTAGTATGTAGTAGTTGCACCAGTCGTAGTCGTCGTCGTAGTGGTAGTAGTCGTAGTCGTAGTCGTGGT